GCTGCACAGCCTGGTCACCAGCATGGAAATCCATGTGTCCCTCCAAGACTGGGGTGTGGTGGGGAGTGTAGCCCAGTGGCCTGGGTTCAAAGCCCAGCTCCATCAGGTGCAGTTGCAAAGTCCCCAGCAGGTGTCAACCCTCTCTGGCCTCAGTTTCCCCACCTTGTGGACCTGCCGTAAGAATGAAATCTGAAATGATCTCTAGAGAAAGGGCTTGGTCTGCAGGAAGCACAGAGATGGCTGAAGGCTGAACTGGACCAGGTCGTGGTCAGTGTTGTCTGGGGGAGGGGGAGTAGAACACCAGCTCCCCCAGGTGACGTTCAGATGTCCACATGTGCACGGGGACCCTGCTCCGGCCCCTGCTCTGGCTCTGGCTCCCCCACACACACACACAGGGCCTGAGCCAGGGTCCTGCATGTACGCCCGGGCCTTGTGCTTTTGAATTTCCTAGTTGCCATATAAAAAAGTAAAAAGAGGCTGGGTGTGGTAGTGCATGCTTGGGGTCCCAGCACCGCAGGGGGTGGAGGCAGGAGCGCTGCAAGCTACAGCCCAGCCTGGGCCACTTAGGGGAACCTGACCTCAAAAGCAAAATGAAAAGGGCTGGCTTGAAACGCAGTGGTAGAGGCCTGGCTAGCGTGTGCAAGGCCCTGGGTCAGGCTTTTGGAGCCAGACTTTGCGGGTTCAAATCTCGCTTCTACTACTGTCCGCCTTGGCGACTTTTTAAATCCCTGTCTGTCTCAGAGTCACCCTGGAAGTCCCCTCCAGGTAGCAGCTGCAGCTGCACCCACAGCAAGCACCCCCCAGAGGCAGTCTCCCCTGACATGTGCATTATAGGCAAGGTACGTGGGCGGGCCAGGGAGACCGCCGGTCCGCAGCAGGAGGGTGCCACTCCATGGTGAGTGCCACAGTATCCCGTATTCAGGCCGCAGCAACCCCAAGAAGGTGGGCAGGAGTATCTGGGGACATGACCGTAAATGCTGCCCTGGCCCCTGGGAGCAAGAGGGGGTGGCACATGGGAACACCACGTGTCCCCCAGGAAGATGCCTGCATAATTATTTGGAGATGTTTAATTTTGTCTTTTGTTTTTGTGAGCCAGGCCTTGACTATGTAGCCCAAGCTGGTCTTGAACTCTCAGTATCCTCCTGCCTCAGACTCCTGAGTGCTGGGATTAAGGCTGTGTACCACCACGCCCTGATGAAGATGTTTAATTTCGATGTAGAATGTGGGGAAGATTTGGCAGGACGCAAAGCAGACGAGAGGCAGGGATACCGCTGCACATGCACATGCCTTCGCTTCCTGCACGCGCCCCTTGCTGCAGCTGTGGAAGCCCCGCGAGTCTCAGTCGTTCTGCATTGCCCCAGGCTGGGCACCGGGCAGACCGTGCAGCAGGGCCTGAAAGAGAGCCAGGCTGCCCAGGAGTGCCGGGCACCTAGTGTGCCCCGTGCCCCGTGAGCTCGGCGAGAGGGTCCCACTCGCTGTCTCTCAGGGCGTCACAGAGGGCCTGGACAGGGCTCCCGGCCGGCATCACAGCTGTAGTGCGAGGGCAGCCTCCCTCCGTCCGTGGGCTTCTGCTCACCCCAGTTGCCAGCATCTCTACCATCAAAAGCTGCGCATGCGTGTGGGGTGCTGTTTTCCTCACCAGCCCCTGTGACCAGTCCAGCTGTCTCCAGCGCTTGCGGCCTGGCATTTGCTTTGTTCTGAGTGTGTTTGTGAGGTTTTCTGGTTCCCTTTGTTCTCTCACCAGTGGCCGGAAGCCCTTGTCCCCAGGCCCTCTGTGACCCAGGGGCCTACAGCAGTGAAAGGTCACCTTGGTGCACCCTCCACACTAGTCTGCAGCAGGAGCGCCAGTCCAGGTCACAGGGAGCCCGAGGGGCCCCTTGGGCAGGCACAGCCCTGGGCCACGAGGTCAGCCGCGCTCGGCTGCAAGGCCCCCCACCGCCCAGTTGCGAAGCATGGGCTCTGTCCAGCCTCCAGACGGTGCCTCATGCAGCCGTCGTGTCCTTTTTTACTGTTCCTTTGAGGCACAGACGTGCTCCGTTGTCCAGACTGCCTCAAGGACATGACCCTCCTACCTCAGGCACCCGCGAGCTGGGGTCACAGGTGTGTGGCACCATGCAGTGCTCTAGGCCAGCGTGTGCAGGGCCCTGGGTCAGGCTTTTGGAGCCAGACTTTGCAGGTTCTAGGGCAGCTTCCAGCAGTGGGAACACTGGGTTCAGCTGCGTGCAGGTGGCCATGGCGGAGGCCCCGGAGGAGGCCCATGCGCTTGTAGCTACCTGGCGGGGCTGAGTGGGCACTCACCTGACAGGACAGTGTCTGTGAGCTCCCAAGGGCCCAGAGTGCCTGCCCACAGCTGGGCCTCACTCTCCTCCACTGCCTGTCACCTCAGCCCCAACACTCCCCTCAGGCCCACAGCAAGCCCCAGGCCTGGCTGACAGACACCCAGAACCATTTTTGTGCTTTTTTCTTTCTCTTTCCTCCTTCTTGAAGCACTGGGGATTGAACACAGGCTGGGCTAGAACTTGTGATCCTCCTGCCTCAGCCTCCCAGAGCCCCATTTTCTCACTCTGTCCCAGGAGCCTTTCTGGGGGTCGGGCTCCTCCTGCACTCTGGGCCCCTTCAAGCTGCTCCCCCAGGGAACAAGCTTAGGTGCATCTTCTAGGGTCCTGGCTCTCAGGGCCTCTGCTGGCTGGCTGGCTGGCTGGCTGGCTGGCTGGCTGGCTGGGAGGAAGAGCGGCCTCTGCCCTCCTGCGTGGGGCAGCTTCCCCCGCTTGGCCTGAAGCATCCCTGCTCCTACAACTAGGAGTGTGCATAATCGTTCTAGTTTCGATGCCCTCCTGTCCTTCTGCAAAGCAATACCTCAGAAGACGCTGTCTCTCCTGAGGTGATGCAGGTGCTAGCGTGGGTGCATGTCCCGTGGCTGCTGCTTGTTCTAGACAAGCATTGGAAGCGTCGGAAGGATCAGAAGCCCCTTTATGCACTGACATCTTCTAGCGCTTGCAAGTCGACGAGGTGCTGCAGCCAGGATTCCCAACAGCGCTGCCTCCCCACACCACGGAGACAGCTGCTGGCAACCAGGGCCATCGGCTCTCTGGGAAAGGGCTGCGCAGGGCCGGCTAAGAGGGTGGCCTGGGCCCCTGCCAGGCTAGAGTTCCCTCTATCTGCAGTTTCTGCTGTGGCAAGAGCGGAGGCGGGTGTCTTTCTATGCAGGTGTTGGTGCTCACAGGCAGGGGCAAAGGTTGCTTCTTAGATGACTGTCACAGCTGGACATGGAACCGTCTGGAGGTGGGAGGTGTGGGGTGGAAGTGCCCTGCCTCAGGGCACCCTCGGACCCTGCAGCAGGAGGACACTGGGTAGCGCCTGCTTGTGGTTCCAACCGCGCAGAAATCTGAGAACACAGATCTGAACTCCTTTCCTGGGACAAAACAGGAGAATGTGACACCAAATGCAGGTGTTGAACATGGCGAGTTCAATAAACTGGCTTGGCGACAGCTGTCCTTTGGGCTGGCAGCTTCCTGCTCAGCCTTCCAGTCAACCAGCCAATCAGCAAGCACTCTACCGAGCACCTCTGGGAACATACTGTTGACCCTGGCCACTAGGGCTTGCTCATCCGATGAGAATATGTGTGACTCCGTGGAAGAGAAAGTGGTGACCCAGAGTCAGAAAGCAGCTGCAGAACTGAGCCTCAGCCCCCGCCACTCTGCTACATAACTACACACCCACACAGAACAGCTAACACCTACCCCTCCGACTCCTCCACAAACCTCACAGGGCCACTGGCTATTGCCATGGGAACAGGGCATCTGAAATCTCACTCTGAATGTCACGTTGCCACTGAGCATGGGCTCTGCATTCTGAGTCACTTCCCCTTGGGGGTTAAGCCAGGCACGCGTGCATGTGCATGTGCATACGTGTGTGTGCGCACCTGCACATGTGTGCATGCTCATCAGGCGTGAGCCAGCAGTGTTCGGTGCAGCACCCACTGCATCTTTACCTGGGTCCTGGCCCTGCAGGCTCTCGTGGCCCACTGTCCCATGGGGAGGCACCATGCCACCACTGCCCTGGCCCAGACTTAGACAAGGGGGCTCTGGGTGCAAAGGGACAGGAAGTGCCAGGGGCTTGCTCGAGAACACAAAGGTGGCTGCCTGTCCCCAGGTCCCCAGTCCCAGCCCACCTTGCATGCTTGTAAACCACTGAAGACCCATCACCTTCGGGACAGCTCTACAGAGCAGGGGACAGCTAAGCTGTGACCTCGTGGGTCTGGAAAACCAGACCAGCAGGACAGCATGGCCGCTGTGAGGAAGGCAGTGGCTTTCTGGTCTGGACCAGCCAGGGAACAGGCACCAGGACATGACCCTCCTCCCTCCACCCTTCCCGCCAGGCCCCTCAGTCACTGGACCCATGAAGCCACAGGCCAGGAAGCTGCTAAGCTCTGCCTTGGTGCAGAGGGGACAGGGAATCTGGAGGGACAAAGAACCGTCTCTGTCCAGGGCACTCACCCTTATCCCTTGGCCTCCCTTCTGGAGAACACCCGTACCTGCCCGGCTGCCACAGACCATAAGCAGCGTAACTGGCTGGGCCCCATGCCCTGGGCCTCTGCCTCCTCCAACAGTACTTTCCGGCCCCAGAGCTCAGTCAGCCCTGGTCAACAAGTCCTACCCATCCCATACTGTGGTGTGCAATCTTCAAATTCTCCAAGCAAGTTTTCTCCTAAACCTCTCCCACTTCCTAGCTGCCCGGGTCATCCCCCTTCAGCCTCACAAGACTTTCCCAGGGTCAGGACCATAGAGGAAAGCTGTCACCCATCTGCAGTGGCTCAGCACTTGGTGGGTCAGGCCAAGGAGGGCAGGACCTGCTACCCAGGGTATCTTCCTGTCCCTGCCGTGGAGGTGGAGGTGTCTTTCTCAAGCCAGGCTCCAGGAAGGGAAGGCCCTGGCCCCAGGCCACCTCTGGGACCCCGAGCCTGAGCCTGCTCAACCCCAGCTTCTGCTGCTTCCTTGCAGGGCTGCAGTCCCCAGCGGTGCCCACACCTGGCCAGCACAATGCCAGCATCAAGGCCCCAGAGCCAGGTGAGCAGTGCGGGCCCCAGGGGCACAAGGGGCCCAGGGTGGGGAGGGCACTTGGGCTCCTCTCCTCCTGGCCTGGGGCACAAGTTCCAGTCAGATTCCTTGGGGAACCAAGCTAGGAGGGGACACAAGACACCCACCGGGCTAAGACCTGGAGGCCACGAGGCCCAGAGACAGGGCGAGCTAGGCCTCTCTCACCCTGGGTGGCCTCCAGTCAGCCTTGGGTGCTTTCTCCTCAACATAAAGCAAGCTGGAGGGTCAGTCCAATGGCAGCCCTCCTCCTAGTCCCATTCTGCAGACTGGAAGGCAAAGGCCCAGGTGTGGGAAAAGGTGTCCAGGTCATCAGCCCATCCACTCCCTCCAGGTCTCGGGGTGCGCCTGGCCAACGGGAGCAGCCACTGCCTCGGGGAGGTGGAGGTCAGGCTCGGGGCCCTCTGGGCGCCTGTGTGTGGGGCAAGGTGGGACCACCAGGCTGCTGAGGCCGTGTGTCGCGAGCTGGGCTGCGGTGGGGCGGAGGCGACCCCCGAACCTGAGCCTGGGATCGCCGTGGGCAACACCAGCGCTGCCAATGCCACGCATGAGCACAAACACGCACTCTCCATCCGGTGCGCCGGCCCCAAGTGGGGGCTCTGCGAGGTGGTAAAGGTTGCGTGTGGAGGCGACGTGGGCCCAGCCCGGGTCACCTGTGCAGGTATAAGCGACCCCTGAGACCCTACACCCAGCCCAGCTAGGGAACTCCAACCACATGTAGGCTGGGTTTCCCTCAAGCACGCTGGCCCCACCCCTACAAATCTGCCCCCAGACCTCTTCCCTGCTCTGTTGCCTGTGCCCCCGCCACGCAGTCCTAGCTCTCCCCCTCCCGCCTCTGAGCCTGGACTCCAGGGTCCCCACCCCACTGCCGCCCACCTCTCGGTCCCGCCCATTCCCCCCTCCCCTCCAACCACCCGACCCCGCCCCTCCCCGGGTCCTCCTCTCCCCATGCTGGCCTGGGCTCCACCTCACCCCCTCCACAGAGGCCCGAGACCTGAGGCTGGTGGGTGGAGCCAGCCCGTGCGCTGGCCGAGTGGAGATGCTGGAGCGTGGTGCGTGGGGCACCATGTGCGATGACGCCTGGGACCTGCAGGATGCCCATGTGGCGTGCAGGCAGCTGGGCTGTGGCTGGGCCGTGGAGGCCACACCAGGCCTGCGCTTCCCTGCCGGCCGGGGTCTCATCCACCGCGACGTAGTGACCTGCACGGGCGATGAGGCGCACCTGTGGGAATGCGTGGGAAGGCCGGGCGATGGCTACTGCGGCCACAAGGAGGACGCGGGCGTCGTGTGCTCAGGTCAGTGGGCCTGGGCTCGGGGGTGAGGGACGGCTTGGCCCCCTCCTGGGGAGGGCTTGGGGAGGGCCGCTAGCAGAGCGGGGCTGGGCACCGTGCAGGTGCGACCACGCGGTTCAGCCCAGCCAGGGCATCTCAGAATGTGCGGGCGTTAAGTGTGAATCCTGACCCAGCAGGTCAAGTGGTGCTGTAGATGCTCCGCTGCTGGACTGGAAGCTGACCCAGGGGGTGGGGGTGGGGAGTCGGGGGTTCTGGATCCCTAGCAGGGTTGCCCGCAGGTGGGAAGGGACCTGGAACCCCTCCTCCTGAACTGACAGCCAAATCCTCTGTCTCAAGAACACCAGTCCTGGCGCCTGACCGGGGGTGGTGACCTCTGCGAAGGACAGGTGGAGGTGCACTTCCGTGGAGTATGGAGCACCGTGTGCGACAGCGAGTGGTACCAGCCGGAGGCCGACGTGCTGTGCCGGGCCTTGGGCTGTGGGCATGCGCTGGACCGGCCCCCCGGGCAGCCCCACTCGCTGCAGGGCAGGATGTTCTACTCCTGCCGCGGTGAGGAAGCCACGCCCTTTCTCTGCACGTGGAGGTTCAACAACTCCAACCTGTGCAGCCAGTCCCGGGCAGCCAGAGTGCTCTGCTCAGGTACCAGTCCCTCTGGGACCCCAGACCTTCTGCTCAAGGGGGGACCTTGCCTTCCCCGTACCCAGGGAGAGCTCCACCAGACACTGGGCATCTTCTACAGAGGCTGTGCTCGCCCCGTGGGTCCGATCCCTATTAGCATTACTATGTGCTTAGCAGAGACGGAGCCTGCTGGCCTCCGCAGGGCTGGTGCCCCTGGGAAAGCTACAGAGGAGGAGACCTGGCTGGTAGCACTAGCACCCTGCTCCCGGGCAAGCAGTGCCAAAGGCATAGCTCAGCCCAGCCCCAGACGCACCTTGGGAACTGGGTCCCTGTCTCCCACGCCAGAAATGGCTCGACAATGAGGCAGGTGCTACCCAAGGGCTGGAGGAAGACAAGCGCTGCTGCATCGAGCCCGGGGGCCGCTTCAGAGGTCTTGGGTGTGGGAGTAAGGGTCACACGGAACAACCTTAGCTGTGTGTCCAAGTGGAGTTCAGAGACCTGGATCCATGACTGGCTCTGCTGTGTGCAGCTGGAGGCTTGGGACAGTCCCTTAGCCAGTCATTTTCCTGGGACATGTGCCTGGAAAGTCACTCCCACCTGCCAGGGTGCACCCCTGCCCTGTGAGCACACAGGAGGGGGGGACCAGGACCCCAAGTGCTCTGTCAGCAGGGCCCAGGGACATGCAGAGGTGTGGAGAGGAGGGAGAATCCTGCCACTGGGTCTGCCTCCTAACCACAGTGCCCCAGCCCAACACCATAAGCTCCTGCTGGTTTGGGGAGCCAGGGTGTCCTGAGCCATTTGCCCCTGTCCCCGGCTACCCGCCTGTCCTCCTGGGTTCCTCTCCAGGTGTGTGCATAGGTGCTTACAAGTGTGCAAGCGACGGGTAATTCCTCACAGGTTCCCGGAGATGGTACAACCTGTCCTCAGCCCAGGTCCCCTCCAGCACTCAGCCGGCGACTGTAGGTAAGCACTGCTTCCCGCAGAAGCCTGGGTGTGCAGTGTGTGGGTTGGTGTCCATGCAGGTACGTGCCTGCCCAAAGGTGGACAGGTAGTTTGTCCCCACCCTCCCTAGCCAGTGGCCCTGCCCCAGGACTCCCTGGGGCTTGGGCTCCCCCAGTAATGGCCAGGCCACAGCTCCCAAGAGTGCCCTCCCCACTGTCCTGGGGGCTCCCCCAGGACAGTCAGGAAGTACAACAGGCACAGGCCCCTCAAGAAGGTGGGAGGTGCCTGGCAGCAGCTGCTGTGTCCCTAAGGTCTGAGCAGTGTCCTTTCCCAAGCTCCCCCTTGGCAACCATATGTCAAGGGCTCCTCAGACCCTGAACCCACAGCTGGGCTTGCAGTGTTGTACCCCACATCCACTCCTTCTCTGCCTGAGCCCGCTCTTGGCTGCTCCAGGGAGAAGGCTCTAGCCCAAGCGGTGCCCCTTGCTGAGCTCAGAAAGAAATGAATACAGTTGCTTTCACCAGCTGCCAGCCCTGCCCTCCCTGGCCCAGCCCCACACACCACAACTCCTGCCTTTGAGCAGCAGGTGGCCAGCGGCTCTCTCACCTCCTCCAGAAGCCCTCATGGGGGTGAGGGGTGGGACAGCCCCACGGGAGGGTGGGACAGCGAGGCGCCACAGGCCCTGTGCCCCAGGTTCCTGTCCACTTGCTGAGGTTCCCTAGACAGAGCCCCGGATCTGTGACGCTGCTGCACTGGCTTCCCGGGACCAAGTGCCTGGCAAGGCGGTTCTTGGCCATCGCCCAAGAAGCAGTGTCTTCCTCAGCTTCTTACTGCGGGCACACAATGCCCAACACCCTCAAAGCAGAGGACAAGAGGCCTACTTTAGCACGTGGATTTTGAAGGATTCAGCAGTCAGCTGACTCCAGGCGGGAAGATGCAGTAGAGAGGCCTGGTGGGGGACAGCTGCTCAAAGCTGGTGGCCTGCAAGCCAGGAGGGAAGGGGATGCGGGGCGGACTGACACTTCCGGGCCACAGCCAGTGACTGCCTCTTCTGAGCAGCTCACCTGCTGGGTCTCAGAGGCATTGTCTGCTGGCAGGAAACTTAGTGGTTTATTCTCTTAATATGCATTCATTGAGCACCTGCTGTATGCCCAGCATCTAAAATCAGTCGGGAAAAATTGGGGGGAAAGGAAGGCAGGAGGAGAGTGAGAAAGGGTAACAGATCTGTTGTGCAAAAGGTGGACGGAAGAAAGGTGAAGAGACACTGCCCTCCGTTCCTTCTCCCTGAGTTGCTTCTCCTTTCCAGAATCGTGGGTGACAGTGAAGATGGAGGACAAGGCGTCTCCAGCGCTGGTGCTGCTCATGCCCAGCCTGGTCTTGGGCTTCCTCCTCCTCTGTGCCCTGGTCTTCATCGTCATCCTCCTCCTGAGAGTCAAGGGGAAATACGGTGGGTGTGGAGCTGGGGCCCAGAGGGGCGTGGGGAGTGGCAGGGCTGGGGGCAGGGCTGCTGGGGCCGGCTGCTGGGGCGGGCCACTTTCCCCAGCATGCCCAGCAGGAGTGGATGCAGCAGGGTGGGCTCCCGCGAGGTCAGCCTGTGTGCTCCTCTGTGTGTGTGTGTGTGTGTGTGTGTGTGTGTGTGTGTGTGTCTGTGTGTGTGTGTACTCGTGTGTGTGTGCATGTGTGATGGAGGTGGGATTTGGCTGAGGCCAAAACTCAGGAGATGGGAAGCAGCAAATCCCCACTTTGGGGCTGCCCTATCCGCCTCCCTCCTTCAGCCCTCCCAGCCACCGGGAACCACCAGCACCTCCTGCCTGCAGCCGGCCCAGCAGGCAGCAACAGCTATCATGTGGTGCCCGTTGCCATCTCCAAAGAAGGTAGGACGCCACCTGCCCGGGGAGAAGGCAAGCGGAGGGCACAACTTTCTGGAGGGCCAGCTCCCAGCTGTGGAGTGGCCCTGCCCTGCACCCCGTGTCCCTCTCTGGCTTGGCGAGGGGTAACCTTCCAGCCACCACTTGCTTAGGACCCCAGGCTGTCCCCTGGCCTGACACGTGAGGCCAGCAGCGTTTAGGTCTTAGTGGTTAGAGGGGAGCTCTGTGGTGCTCTGGGCTGGTGGCCGAGACACTGTCACCTTCTTCAGTGTCCTGCCCAGTCGGCTTCTGCAGAGATTTCCCTGGGGCATGATTTTGTTTCATAAATTGGGCAGCCCGTCCTACGTGGTACACAGATTTCCACCTCTCAGAAGTTTCACAGAACACTCGAGTGCTGTCACTTGCACTGTGGTGGGATCTGTTTGTGTCCCGTGGCACAAAGCCCTCCATGTGGCCCAGCCAGCATGTGGGCTCTGCGTGGCATCTCACGTGGGGCAGCCCGAGGTCGAGTTGGGGGTCCGCCTCCCTGGGCAAGTCAAGAGCCACTCTGAGCCATGGTTTCCTGCATGCACTGTGATAATCTTGGCCCTGCATCCGCGAGTGTTAGTGAGCTGTGTCTGAGACGGCGCCTGGGCTTAGGTGCTGTGCCATTGGCCAAAAGCATGCACACGGCCGTGTGGAGCCGTGTGGAGCTCCCCCGCCCCCCCACCTTGCAGGCTCCGGCCCTCGCTTACGCTCCCTTCCTGCCCACCATGGTGCCCTGTGGCTGCCCCCGCCGCCCAGCGCCTGCCCCCTCTGTTCTCACCCAGCTCCCCAGCCACTGGCCCCAGGTCGGGTCCCAACCCCTGAGGACTCGGACTCGGACTCCGGCTCCGATTATGAGCACTACGACTTCAGCGTCCAGCCACCTGTGGCCCTGACCACCTTCTACAGTGAGTGCTTGGTGCGGGGAGCAATGGGCCGGAGGGGCCGGGGCCCAGGGCATTTCTGTGGGACCCTGGCTCTCAGTCTGCCCGTGGCTACCACGAGCAAGCCTGATGCTTCTGGAAAGTGCCATCTGTGTCCCCTGCGTCCCTGTGTCCCTGCTGGCCCCGTGCCCCATTACCCCATCCGGCCTGTCCCACAGTTGCTGGCCCCTCCCCTGCCCTGGGGCCCAGAGAGGGAGGCAGACAGTAATTTCCCACCACAAGGGCAGTGTGGGAGTCTGTCCAGAGAGGTGCAAAGGACAGGGTCCCTGGAAGCCCGGGCCAGGCCCCCTTTTCCTGCTCCTGGGGAGTCCCTGACGTGTCACTGGTCCGTGTGGTCCCGGGTGGCTCACCACACAGTGAGCTCAGCCTGCGCAGACCCCACACACAGGGGGACCCAGAGGTCCAGCCACTGTCGGGGTCCCTGCCCCATCTTCTGGCTGGGCACGTGCTGGGATGCAGAGACTCCAGCCCTGAGATGTCCCAAGAGTTGGGCCACAGCCAGGGGTGCCAGCGCCTTGGAGCCCACGCCAAGGCACTGACCACCTGGGCACCAGGCTCTATCGGTCTCTTTGGAGGCTGGGGACCTGACTGTGCAGATCCCTGGCTCCTGCCCCAGGCTTTCAGGGGATGCACAGGGGAGAAAACAGACTCATCCATCCAGGCTGGGCTGACAGGGCACTGTGCATCTGGCTGGCAGCAGTGTCCCTGCTGTGTGTGGTACCTGGGCCTGATGTGGTACTATGTCCCCCACCTCTCTTCTCCTGTTTGTCCTGCAGATTCCCAGCGGCACCGGGTCACAGAGGCAGAGGCCCAGCAGTGCCGGTTCCAGATGCCGCCCTTAGAGGAAGGTGAGTCGGTGCAAGGGAGGCTCGTGGGGGGACAGGACACTGGCTCCAATCGGTCCTGTGGCCCGGGCATCCTGGAGCTGTCCACCTGCCCTCCCCACACGGCGTCCTGTGGCAAGAAGCTCCCACACTGCCCTTGTGGTGGGAAATTACTGTCTGCCTCCCTCTCTGGGCCCCAGGGCAGGGGAGGGGCCAGCAACTGTGGGACAGGGGGCCTTCTGCAGCCTGACTTCAAGCCCCCTTCTGGGCAGCTGCTTGGGGCCTCACTGGCTTTGTTCCTGGCCCAGGACTTGAAGAGCTGCACACCCCTCCCACACTGGCCACCCTGCAGGGACCCTGTGCCCTAGACACTGCTGCCCCAGGGGACCCTGGGCATCATCAGGGCGGCAGCAGTGGGTCTAGCACGTCTTCCGGCGAGGACTACTGCAACAGCCCGCGCAGCAAGCCACTGCCGTGGAGCCCCCATGCATTTTCCCTGCAGCAGAGCCCGGGCCTGGAGCTGGCTGGCTCCCAGATGACCTTCTCTGGGAGTGGTGAGTCCGAGGTCCCCCATCCTGATGTGCCTGTCCTGGAAAGGAGCAAGTTCGATCCCCAAGCCAGGCACAGTCCCGGCCTCATCTGTGGCCTAGGCCTCAGTCCTTGAGGTTAGGCCAGGCTGTGGCTCTCCTGAGTGCCCGAGGCTCCAGTGCTGGCAGCCCCACCCTGACTGGGGTGACTGGCTGGTCTGGGGTCTTCGCAGGGCCCCCCGCAGATGACAGCTCCAGCACCTCGTCCGGGGAGTGGTATCAGAACTTCCAGTCACCAACCCAGCCCCAGCCCACAGAGCAGTTTGAGTGTCCAGGTAAGGCAGCAGAGGGCTGGAAGGCAGAGACAGCCCTAGGGCGTGGCAGAGCAGGAGGGGGATGGGCCGGATCCCAGTTGCAGGGGCTGGAGGTAGGGGGACAGAGCAGGGACAGCCATGGCCCCAGGGAGGCTGAGGGCCCAGCACTCACACAGCCCACACTGCAGGTGAGCTCTGGCCTGGGTCAGGCTGGCCCAGACGGGTGTGAAGAGGTGCCTGGATGGGGAGCAGGTGGGGCCCCCTGACCCGAGACTCCTGCCCAGGTCCCTGCGGCCCCCAGCCTGAGTTCTCCTCCTCCGAGGGCGACTACGACGACATTGGAGCAGCCTAGTGGGGCCCCGCTGCGGTTTCCAGGAGGGCCCCACTGCCTGCTGCTCCAGGCACCCCAGATCACCAGGTGTGGCTGAGGCCTCCCCAGGATGGAAGGACCCATGCTGTCTGTCTCTTGAGACACGGGCAAGCAGGAGCGATGGCTGAGGCAGGAGGATCAACACAAGTTCCTAGCGAGATCCTGTCTCAAATAAACAACCACATAGGCGGGCAGGAGTCTAGGTGGATTTATTGTGAAGTGGATACTGACTCTGGCCTCCGGATGCCTTTCTGTGCGCTCGGAGGTGACCTGGCCCTGGAGCCCTGGAGACCCCCAAGAGGCCACTGACAGCTGCCGTCCGTCTGTCCATCTCCTGAGCCAGCCAATGTCTCCTTTCGGGCTCCCAGACTTCACGAGGGGACCCTCGTGAAGAAGCTCCTCACTGAACCTGGCCTGGCCAAGGTGGGAGGGTCTCTATGGAAGTCTCCCTTCCTGGCGTCACCAGGCATGCGGTGTGGCTGGGCTGGGTGCCAGGGGACCTTACCATGGTGCTGGGGGGTGCCAGGGCCCCCAACAGAGGACAGTATGTGCTGCACGCGCATGTTGGCACTGTCAGTGCACACTCTTTGGGATGCCCCTTTACCTTGTCCCCCTGCGCCTGTTCCCGTGTCCACAGAGCCACTCTGCCTGGCCACCAGAGCCAGCCTGGATATGTGCAGGGGCAGCCTGAGCGCTGCACCCGTGTGTCCATCAGATGGTCACCCCAGGCACCTGTGTGCAGCACGGGCCACCCCTGGGTGGCAGGGTGGGGGCAGGGCACTTACCAGGCGCTGGGCAGGGCTGTTCTGTGGCCCCCTTGGGGCTCCTCTGAACCCCACACTGAGTGGCTGCTCCCTGAGCTCCAGCCAGCACCATGGGGTCACTCAGCCCGAGCGTGTGGGGCCCTTCCTGTCCATCGGAAGTCCTGGGCTGGGGGCCACGTGACCCTGTTTTCCGGGCCCCCAGCCCCCTAGCTGTACCTCCTGGTCTTCTAATAAACACTCTGCTAACCTTCTCTGCGAGTTGCTCACCTGGAGAGAGATGGCCCTCCTGCTTTGGTTGGTAGGGAGGGAGCTGTTCCTCCAGAGCAGGGCCTGGGGGCGACAGAAAACTCCCCCTACGTGGCAGCCCACTGCCAGCTTTGTTAGCCCGGGGCCAGGACGACAGAGACCCCACACCCTCCCGCAGCCCCTGCCTGCCCCGGCCTCTGCAGAGCAGTGGGACCCCAGCAGGAAGGACCGACCCCACGCCTGCACACTGCCGCCCCAGAGGCTGCCGAGGGCTGCTCTCTGTGCTGCTGACTGTGCTGGGCTGTTGTCCTCTTCGCTGCCAAGCACATAATGGCATCATGTGGGACCACCACAGTGCCACAGAGCCTTGCTTACAGAGAAGCCGCCAATGCCAGGGTGTGATGGGCGGGCAAGACCAAAGGGGCCAGCTGAGCTGGTCACAGAAGGGTGTGTAGGAGCTCGCCAGGTGGCATGAGTGAAGATGTTCCCAGTGGCAACATCTGCAAAGGTGGACAGTTCCTGCAATCCTGAAAGTGGCGTGTTATGTGGGAGAGAGCCCCAGGGAGGGCAACAGGCTATGCAGCTCACCTGGGCACTATCTGAGGCACTGGCGTGTCAGGAGGGGATTCTAGGGCAGCAGGGAATCTGGCCAGAGGACGGCCCTTGAAAGTTGCTTGCTGAGGGAGGTGGTGTGGGGGAGATGATGTGGAACTAGGGCCAGACAGTAGAGATGGGAGGGGATGGGGCTGGGCCCAGCGCACAGGCTCCAGCACCATGGTGACACTGAGGGGATGGCATCTGTGTGCACCGGGCTTTGTGTCCCGTGGGGTGGCCACTGCAGCTTCCAGCAGCCCCAGGGCTGGGTCACCACAGGGACACTGAGGCTGACACATGGAGGGGAGCAGGCTGGCACCTCACAGACTCCTGGGGGCAGCAGGGTCCACACGGGAGTCTCCCACCAGCCCCACCCTCTGTGGCTCCAGAGCCCAGGGAAGCTCATCCCACCATACCCTCCGGCTGTTTACCAGCTGCCAGGATCCCAGTAAGAACCTGGGCCGCCATCACCCCACCTCCACCACCCAGCATCGGGAAAATGCTGAAGCCTAGGGAAGAGGGGACAGTGGTCTCAAAGTCACTTGTGTCCCTGTCAGCCTCATGACCCCAGGGCTCTGAAGGGTCCCCATGGCCCCCCTCCCTCCATGGGAAAGGTGACTCTGGGGTTGCAGGCCCGTCTCCAGGCCGAGGTTGGCACAGTCAGGCAGATTCCTAGCCAAGGATGGTAGGGCGAAGGTGCAGGCACTGGGCTGGGGCTAGGCCCTGGGGATCATGGGAAGGCACACCTTCCAGTGGCCCTGGTGGCCCCTTTCCCAGGGCCACCACACCCTGAGCCAAAGGAGCAGAGACAACTTCCCTCCAAGAGGTCTGCTCTGCGCCCCACCTTCACACAGGAAGAGGGAATGGTCCTTGGCCTCGCCCCCACCCTCGCATCGCCCCCCCCCCCCATGGCCACACACGCTGCCCTGCTATGGCTTCTGCCCAGACTGCTCAGGCCCTCACGCCCGGCCGAGGGGTGGACACTCAGTAACAGGGTCCAAAGCCCCGACTCTCTCCTGGCCCCAGGAAGTGCAGGTGGTGCCTCCAGTGAGTGGGGGTCCCTTGCATGGCCCCTGGGAGATCCAGCCGTCTGGTGCCCTCTGTCAGGACAAACCACTCATGGTGCTTCTGTCCCCCGCACAGAGCCCAAGCACAGTGGCCAGCCAGGCTTGCTGCAGGGAGCGCCGCAGTATGGTGTCCTGGAGTCACCTCGGGGTTCCTGCTGCCCTCCCTGTACCTGCTGAGACCTCAGCAACCATATGGGAGACCCCAGGGCACTGTGTACCCAAGTCCCCTCCCACCCCTCCTGGCCCCAGGGTGAGGCCAGCACCTGACTGTCCCTGTCTGGGGTCGCCTTTGGTCCACCACTGTGTCCTCTGTCCTCTACCCTGGCCTGGCCAGTCTTGTGGGATGAGGACCCTGGCCACAGACCCTCCACCCTGTGGTCCTGGGCTTGCTTTATCCGTGTACTGTTCGTTCTTTTGACCACTTGATCAGTTTTTTTTAATTGAACTCAACTTTTGAAGAGTAAATTTATTTTTAAAGTAAATTGGACATCTAACACAAAACATGTGGCATGTGCTTCCCAAAACAGTGATATCACAAAGTACAAAGACTTAAGATCTGTTTCAAGTTAAAGAGGCTAAAGAGAGCCCAGAACAGGTTGTGGACCCGCCCCCGCCCCCACCTTCCCTCCCATCCTGAGTTCCCGCGCTCGGGGAAGTCACAGTGAGGGTGTGGTGGTGTCTGTCTCTCTCCCAGCGGTCTGTGCCCTCCCACTGTGTCTCCCTGCTGTGTTGGAGGACAGGACAGGGACAGGGCGTAGGGCCTCTGCGAGCTGTCTCTGAGCCACGCCCCAGCCACAGGAGCAGGTAGGAGCTGGTGGGTCTTCCTGTCCCTCTACAGCGTTTCTATAAATAGCTACACCACCACGGAACACCTGTGTCCCACAAAGGTCTTCAAAGGTGTCGGTGGATGCCACTGTCATCTTGTTCCTGCCCCAGTTTTAATCAACAGAGGGCCGTCCTGATCCTCCCCTCTCCCCGTGCCCCCCAAGGCCTCCCTGCTACTTCCCAGGAAGGCCCAGCACGACCCGGTGGACCTCGCCGTCCCAGGCTGCGGGTGCCCTGGTGCTCTGAGCATGTGGTCCCTCGTGGCCCATTTGGTCCCACAGGAGGCAGGGCAGGTCGGCATCCAGGCTTTGGGTGTGGTGGCTGTGGGTTCCGGGGGCTGCAGAGTGGAGAAAAGGGAATCTGGCACCCCACCTCCAGAACACTCCCCCATCCCGGAACTGCTTCCAGTCTCCGCAAACATCTATCCCCCATTCCGGCCCCTCTCCTGGGCTGGCCAGGCCCTGGGAAGCTGTGGCACCACCGCTGTCCTGTGTTTAGGACACTGTGCAGCCAGCGAGACTCCTCAGAATGGAGCATGCTTGCGACCAGGCAGACAGCTAGTGCACTGCCGTGGTTGCCATGGTTTCCACGGGGCAGCTGCTGCCTTCTGGTCCTGGCCTGGGCGTCTGAGCGCCTCACTCTACGGCCTTCCCGGGGGTGGAGGCCTCGAGGGGCCTCTCCCAGCACCTATGGTGAACGTGGCACCAAGGCAGGTAGCCAAGGGCCCAGCATCCCCGTCTGCTGCTGAGTGCCTGGCCATGCTGCGGTGACACCAACCAGGAGGTCTGGTGCATGTGCCCCTGGAGGGGGCCACAAGGTCTGGGCCCTGCCCAGCGCTGCGCCCAGCCCTGCTGTGGCTTTGGCAGGCTCAGGACAGCCCACGGCCGTGGCAAGCATGGTGTCTGCATGGCTGACTCACACAGCCCCCCGCGCCCCGGCCCAAGGCCACATGCCCTGCACCAGGGTCCCAGCCCCCTCCAGCGCAGCGAATCCCCACCAGGCTCCTCTGCACTGAAGGTGTCGCCTCCTCCCAGCTCAGTTTCTAAAAGCAGATGCACCTGGAGGTGTCAGCTGTTCACACTTGAATATGAGTTGTTTTCTTAGACTTCTCAAGATTTAGAAATGGAAGGACCCAGCGATTACTTTTCTTTTTCTTGTCTTTTTGAGACGGTCTTGCTATGCAGTCAGGCTGGCCTCAAGCTCACTTTGTAGCCCAGGTTGGACTTAACTCACAATAATCCTTCTGCCTCAGGCTCCCAGGTGCTGGGATCACAGGCGTGCTGGGCTTAGCGACCACTTTTTTTTTTTTTTTTTTTTTTTTTTTTGTATCTAAGGAAGGTCCTACAGGGTGTTCAGGTTCTCACTACTAGATCTGACTGGTAGTGATCTGCCTGTTTACAGCCTCCCAAGAGCTGGGATTATAGGTGTGCACCGCCATGCCGGTTCAATTGGGGGGAGGGGAGGCAGGGGGACAGCACAGCGGGCCCAGGAACCGAACCCCT